CACTAAAGTCCTCTTGTGTGAGTATACAAATTCCATTTATATTTGATTAGCTTATGTTGAATCTCTTTGATTTGCTTATTTATGTGTTAAAGTTTTTAACTTTATTTGGGTTTTCAGTAGATGGGGTCAGATCAGAAAGTTCATGTATTTGAGGAGGTTGCAAAGCACAACAAGACCAAAGATTGTTGGCTTATTATCAGTGGAAAGGTTAGATCTTTTAGTAGTAGTAGTAGTAGTAATTTCTTATGAGATGTATTCTTATGATTAATGAATTTGAACGAGGTGAAAGTTCAGCTAGACAATCAACTGAGCTACTAAGATCGTGATGAGTTTGAATCTTGTTATTCTTGATTGGTTTTGTTTTTTCTTCTCGTTTTTGGCCATTAATTCAACTTATTGAGATGAAAAAGTGGGGTTGTAGACAGTGGCGGATCCAGAATTTTCGTTTAGGGGGTTCGAAAAATAAAAGTATAAACGTGTAAATAAGCCAACAAAAAAAATTTCAAGGAAGTAGTAGTATATAGTTTATAGGTACAAAAAGTTAGTTTCATTACAAGAAATCTGAAACTAACATAAGTGATTACAGTGAAACAAAAAGTTAGCCCTTTAAAATATGTCAAATCAACAATAGAATATTATGGGAGATGATTTTAATATTTGAGTTTTGAGTGTTGGGGAAGAACAAGAAAATGATTTAGGGATTTAGAAAGTGAAAAAGTTATTAGCGAATGGGAGTATGGGACCTTTGAATTTTTTTGGGTTTAACACCACATTTTTAGCACTTTTTTATTTTAAAACTAAAACAAACATGAAAATCTGAACTGGAACTAAAAAAAACAAAAAAAAAAAACTGAAAGTAAAAAACTAAAAAAATAAACGCTAACCTGGGGATTTGATCCCTGGACGTCAGGTTTAATATTGAAGGGAGCAGCCGCTGGGCTATCTCCTTCACCTTGTCATTGAGGGGGTTCAAAATATATATATCCACATAAATCCAGAAAATTCACCTTATATATACAGTGTAATTTTTTATCGAGGGGGTTCGGGTGAACCCCCTGGACAACACGTGGGTCCGCCCCTGGTTGTAGAAAGTAATGTTCATTGAAGTTATCGAATTGTTTGTAATCTAGGGATGTCTTTGATGATCTGATATGGTTTTTGTTTAAGTAGGTGTTGAATTGTTTGCTTTGTGCAAGCTTAGTTGTTCTGTTCACTATTCTTAAACGTTACCTAGTCTATTTTTCTGACTTTGCATCCATTTGGTGTTAGTGGTGTTAAAGAGTTAAAGAGGTTAATAGTGTATAAAAAGGACAATCCAGTACACAAAGCATCATGTGTCCACAAGGAGTCCAGTCCGGGAATAGTGTGATGTATGCAACATACCTCATGTTCCATGGATCGAATCTGTGACTTATAGGTCAATTGGAGACAAATTTTGTGTTGCTCATACTGGGAAGGTTTATCTTTTTTTTTTTTTTTATGACAAGGGAAACCCGCAGTCGCTATCCTTTGGGTGCGCACAGGGTAAAACCCCCGCTCCTATGCAATAGCTTGCAAACCACATACAAGAGGTAACCCGCACTAGGCAAGCCCGGTGCGACGAGCTCGACCCAGAAGGCAAACCCCTTGCTTTCGCTGGCAAGGGGTTTCGAACTTGAGACCTCCAACATGGAAGTCACAAGCCCAAACCACTAGGCCACCCCGAAGGGTTTACTTGGAAGGTTTATCTTGGTAACATAAAATTGGATTTCCCCCTTATTAGCAGTGTAGAACATCAGGGGTTGATGGTAGAAATAAACAATTGAACTTTATAAATGTAGAGGTGGATATAGCCAGTATTCTTTTTCCTTTATTCTCTGTGTCTAAGGTCTGCACCAATAAATTTTGCCCATGAATGTTGCTATGGTATCATATTACCCAAAAAATTGCGACTTTTTTTCTTTAAATTTTAAGCCATCACCTTAACGGTGTGGGGGGTTAGGCTTGAGCCCTACCATGTCTATAACTTCCAAAAAGTTACAAAAGCAGAGGGGCACATGGTCCACATGGACCTAACTTTGATAGAAAAAAACGAGGATAAACTAAACAATCTACAGAAAGACTAATGTGACATAGACTTTCATACTATAAGCAAAATACAATGGTTCTACTAACAAAAAAATTACATTTGTTGTATCTTCTCCTTATGCTAGGAAGTTGCCACTTATATTAGCAATAGTCCCTTCACCTCTTTAGGAAATTGTGACTGATATCACATATATAATATATTGAAAACAGGCTTGTCACATTGAAGACTTTATAGCAAAAAACATAAACATGTATAAGCATTTCGTAGTAAAAGACAAGCAGATGACATTTTTCTAATATTGTGTTGATTCAAAGAAGAAGATCTCTAGACACATGAAGCATTGTTGGTCATGTATCTCTCGTGTCTCAGTGGCACAGACCTAAACCTTGTAGGAGTGTGTTTTATGGAAAGGTAAATCAGACTTATGTTATGCTGACTAAGTCAAACATATTTTATTTCTGACTTCCCCTGCTCGTTCGTGACTGCGAATCAGCAATTTTGACTCAGGTTTTTTGAAACATAGAGTAACCTGATAAAACAAGGATCCTTTCATCTCATTTGATCAAATAGGGATTGATCTTCACAACATAAATTTAATATGCATCTGATTTGTTAAAACGAAGAATCTTTAGTATGTACATCTAATATAATTGCTCAACTTTATTTCCAGCCAGTCAGCTGTAACTGCTGGAGATTAAGAAAGCCTAACTGTGGAGTACCTCAAAGGATTCCACAATGGACATTCTTCTTTAAGCTACTTACACCGTGAAATATGTTTAAACCCGACTTCCCCTGACTATCTGATTTTTTCTTGGATACTTCCTATGTTATCTAGACTCTTCCATCACTTCTGTTTGAGGATCCAAGTTCTTATTTTTCTCCTTCTGTAATACAAATATTGATTGATGTCTTGATATTAAATTGCTCTCCAGGTGTATGATGTGACTCCATTTATGGAAGATCATCCAGGTGGTGATGAAGTTTTGCTTTCAGCAACAGGTAATACCAGAGTATTTCACACAGTTTAGTTTATCTTGGTTGCAAGTCTTATACTGCATTTCTGTATGGCCTGTTATCTGAAATTCATTTGATTGTGTGACAGGGAAAGATGCAACGAATGACTTTGAAGATGTCGGCCACAGTGATTCTGCTAGGGAGATGATGGATAAATATTACATTGGAGATATTGATCAGTCAACAGTTCCTCTTAAACGTGCTTACATTCCTCCACAACAGGCCCCATACAATCCAGACAAGACTTCAGAATTTGTTATCAAAATTTTGCAAATCCTTGTTCCCCTCTTGATTTTGGGCTTAGCCTTTGCTGTGCGACACTACACCAAGGAGAAGTAAATCCGTCACAATCTAATTTGAACTGTTTGATTTACATAGTTGTCAATTGACACTTGGTTTATAGTTCATCAAGGAGCTGTAGTAGCTGAACTTTGATCATCAGTTTGTATGTGCTTCACAGTTGCCATTCGTAGTGACCTCTTTATAAACAATAGACTTCACTGGGTTTATGTCTATGATATTTGACAGACGTCCTTCTCTATTTTGAGTAGTTTCTGTGCTACATCAGACATCTCCAACCCCACTCTATTTTACTTTCCATTCTCTATATTTGGATAGTAAAATAGAGAATTGGGTCTCCAATCACCCTCTAAAAAGCTCTATATTCTCTATTTATAGAGACGTGAATAGTAGTTCTCCAAATCTCTCTATTTCACTGTTTCATTAATTTAATATTATTATTCTTATTATTTGTAACTAACATATTATTTTTCATATAAGACTATTAATTAAATTTCTAATATTCGTAATTCTTTTTAAATGTAATATAACATTTTAAAAAATATAGTATTGTTTAATATATACTACTTTCATCCCTAATTAACAATATTTCAATTTTCATCACTTTAAGAGATAATTTGATATTATTGATTTTCACTATGAAGAATGCACAAAATTTAAATGATAAGATAAAAATTTTAATTTAAAAATACAATACATGACATAATAATTTACAAGATAACAATACAATACATAACATAATAATTTTAAAAATTACAACAATAATTTAGTAATTCGGTAGGTCGTTTTCAGATTTAATAATATTCAGAAAAGAATAGTGTATGATCTAGAGAATTGTTGTGCTTGTGATTGCGGTTGTGTTTGTTGATTTTTTTTCCAATTATTTGTAGTTGTTCTTTAAAATTTTAGAATAAAATATAATTTTATATTAAATAAAGAAATTGAAAAGTAATAATTTTATATTACATGAAAATTATATAGAGTGATTATTTTGAAAAAAAAGAAAGAACGAATTTATATTATGAAATAAGAAAATAAAATAGAAATATAAATAATAATATAATATTGAAGAGAGAAAAAGATTCAATTTTAGAGAGTAAATTAGAGAATTGGGTTGGAGTTGATTGTCTGAAAAAATTGAAAACTCTATAATTGGTGAGTAAAATAGAGTTTAGGGTTGAAGATGCCCTTACTAGAAAACATAGCTGCAGCTAACCGATTGACTCGAAAGCTGAGTTTGAAATTGAATTTAGAAAAATGAGCTTTGCCCATGCCCTAAGAGATATAGTCTCTAGGCTTTTAATTGTATGCCTTAAACCCCTAGGCTATCTCCTTGGAGAACAAAATCATCTAATTCCTGATCTGAAGCTACTCTGGCGGAAACTTGTGAAGGGTTACTAACATGGTAAAATTGTAAGTTAACTGTTCATGCAATTTGTGCACAATAAGAAGCTTGCCCGTGGTGGTATTTTCACTTGGGCACTGCAACACCTCTTGTAGAAAGGTAATGTTCTTATTGTTCCGTCACCGGATTTGAGGCAAGCCAAGTTGCAGGCAAACAGGATAACAATGTCAAACCGTACAAGGCTTTCAATGCTTCTGCTTAGCACACACAAAGTCAAAAACCAAACACCAACCATTCCACATCTCAACTGCTAAAAGAATCACAAACAGTGTAAATACACAATTGTAAGGCGCTCATGACCAACATCGGATACTTAAATATATAACTAATCTAGCTCATGCTTGCCCACACGACTCCCAACCCAACACCCCACTTCTTGATCCCAAGCAAGTTGGGCAATGGGTACAAGATATCCACTTCGAATAAGTTTTCCTACTACAGTATTAAATAGACCCTATAACTATAACTCTATAAGCATTAAAAATGAGAACTTTAAAGATATATATATTTGAGCATATGGTAGAACAGTCTGGAACACAGGCTTTCTAATAATGGCTACACTGAAATCGAGCAAATAGCAGTGCCTGTACTCGGCAGAGCTGCGAGTAATAGATAACCCCGATCTCTGACCCAAAAAGAGCAGCAGCAGCAATGTTTTCACTTGTCAGGTAGAAAGTTCTTCCTCACCACAAAAACATGAAGACTTGAAAAGCACCGACTCACTAATGCTGAAATTTAGCAAAGAGAATAAATAAGTGGTATAAAATTTTGGAAGGCACTATACGAAAGGTGTCTATATCTTGTCATGGAGAGTCACCACCAAATCATGGGCATCATCTAGTAGCTTCCATACATCAAGATGACCAGCCATGTTATTGCACTCCCTTAAAATTTCATCCATGCTACTATACTTCTCAGTGATTTGTTTCCTCCTCTGTAATACAGATGCTGCAATTGCATAAAGCAAAAGATCATCTGTTGGTGGAGCACGCTGCCTAATCCTACTCCATGCAGACTTCCCAATCCCAGCCCTAATAGCGACCTGGTCTGCCCACATTACCTCCCATAGGCAGAGTGTTTGCTCAAAAGTTAATTCCCTCCTGAAGAGCACTACCACCATCCTGTACACAAAAAAACAATCCTCTGCTTGAAGCTTCTCTAAGTGCCTATAGAGATGTGAATCCTTATGTTTGATAATCTTAGAAATAATATTTAGTTGCCTCCTGATTCCAACCTCATCAAGCCTGAAGTTATGTCGTGCCTTCCTCATGAAACCAACGAAGCACCAAAAAGCTTCATGGTCCTCTGTCATCACAGTAATTATTGGTGAAAGCAAATCACTCATTCCCTGGCAATAGCCAATTTCAGGGTCATAAAGCGCATAGGCTTCAAGGATGGCAACTAACCGAGCAGCATGGAAGATCCTTGAGGGCTCGAGGTGATCATAGTCCTTCAGTCCAACAGCCTGCGCAGAACAGTGTGCCCGGCCATCTGATACTACTCCAGCCTGAGGTGTGGAATATGCTATCCATTCTTCATTAGCACGAACTGCATCAACCCGAATTATTCGTTGCCATGTAGCAAAATCTTCTGCATTGCAGGGCTGTGGCTGGACTTCTGTCTTTGAAGGAGAAGAGTCCTCCTTGGAATGCACTTCAGCTGTATCATGCATGCTTCTTATAGAGAGAAAACTATGATGCACATCATGATCTGCAGAGGAATCAGAATCTGACGACTCAGAGTCAGAGACATCATTTGGCTCCATGGCTCGTTTGGAACTAGAAAATTCATCCAACATTAAATTGCTGTGACTGTCTGAATCCTCAACAAATGGGCTCTGGTCCCCACTAGAGAGGGATTCCAGGGCACTGACATCTTCATAATCGGGAAAATCCATTCCTTCCATGAGATTTCCACTGTCTCCATTGTTTCCAATTCCACCCGTCACTTTCATTTTAAAGGTTTCACTATTGTGTCTCAGTAGTTGGCAGCACTTCCTCCGAAGCATCACATATTCCTTTCTGCATTCACATATTTATGCACCATTAAGGAGTATGAACAATGGGAGTCCAAAAATGAATTGGAACTACTAATAATAGAAAGGTGATTATAACTTGTCAACTGAAAAGCAGAGATTAAAAAGATTTTCATGTATGACACCTTTGTCAAGGTAGAGCAGATGTATTTGGAGACGTTACCTGTTCTTTTTTCTTACAGTGTCTCTTTCTTTTTTGGAACTGTCCAATTCATAGCTGCACAGACACAAGGAATAATTATCAGTCCTGACCCAAGCCTTCACCAGTATAAAACTCTGACACAAAGTAATTAGACAAACGGAGACCCTACAAAAACATTGCCTGCCCATCACACCACCAAGTTAAAAAATGACAGAAGCTATATAGAGTCTGTCCTTTCTCAGCATAGATCTAAAGAGACACAAGCAATTAAGAACCCATTAAATCACCAATGAATGAATTTATTTTCAGACTTAGTGACCAGAGCTTGGTTTCTTTTATATAATCTTCCGTAGAAGACAATCCTAATAGTATAGATCAATAGGAAACAGGGACCCTACAATATACAGAAACCGGTTCATAAGAGGATTCATTTAAAAGATCCAGTAGAAAAACTGCAGTACTGGTCTCACTCATTATGGAAACGTATTAATTGACAGAACTGGAAGAAAGTTTAATGTCATCAATCTGGACAATGGAGTTCCATCATCTCCCTTGGAAAGTAAAGAAAAATAAATTGGCCCACCAAAGTGAAAGAAGAAAGGGGGGGAAGGAGTGCGCGGAATGAACCAAATTTCAATCTTAATAATGGTAACTAGTACGAGAGGATAAACTTACACCCCGAGGAGAAAAGGCCAAACCTCCGCCCTGATGCTAGGATCAACTCCCTGCATAAGAGAAACAAAGTTCAGTAAACGAACCAACCCTTTACATTGACAGTAGGGAAGAAAAAGAAAAGGAAGATGGTAAAGTTTTCTGCTGTTAGTTTTGCGTTTGACAATAGAGGAAAAAGATTTCGACAGAGAAAACTGATCTGCAATTTGTCCCACAAGGTTCTCTTTCCTCTTTGGAAAGGAGAAAATCAACAGAAATTTTGAAATGCAAAGCAGTCTACACTCCAATTCACCACTCCGTTCCTCTTTTGGACTCCAAACAAAAGAAAACTGTGTTATTTTCACCTTTACCAAGGGAAAGAAAATGATTTTCTCTTTAAAACTCCCTCTTCTCATTTCCCTTCATTTTGCTTTCCTTCCCTTTCACAGTTCCAAACAAACATTTAAAAGTTCTAATATGTAAATAAATGAATACATGGAAAATGCGATTCTCAAAAAATATCAAGGTGCAGGAACTCACTCCACTTCGAACTTTCTTCAGAAATTTAACTCCTCCATTACGAAGCTTTCCATCGGGGGTAAAAAAGCTTCTCCACCGCAGGGGTGCAAGGACATGTTTTCTCTTTCTACGAGACCATGGTGATTTGAGATGACCTCTGAAATGAAACAGCCATAATTAAACATTTCAGTAAACGACAGCTACAGGTAAAGGTAACTATATTAGCAGATCAAATTACCATTTAATAAAACAAAAAATTCAGCATCATCAAAAATTTCACTACTTCAACAATCCAGCAATAAAAAGGAAAAGCATAAAGGTGACAGGGAAAAATTGTTCACCAGTGCAAACACAGATCAAACCAACGGAAACTAAATGACCACAAGTCCATAATCGTTACATATTGGAGATGATAAGCTTATACAAATTATTTTTTCATTTTCTCGGTGCATTATTTGAAGTAAGAGATATCCAGCCCAAAAAAAAGATTTAACATTATCAGGATTCATTACAAAATAAAGTAAGATGCTTAAGGAATAAGGAAGCTCTACAAAATTAAATTATGCAGTGTTGAAATTTATCCGACAAAAGTTTGAGTCGTGGTACACCGGTGATTAGCAAATTAGCCCAATTCAGCTTTTATCAACATAGCAGAGCAACTGAGTATGAAAAATATCAACTTGAGAATATCACAAAGATTTACAGATACAACCCATTTCAACAGTTTTATCCAGAAGCTGAGGCTGAACAACTTGAAAGTAGAGGGGTAGCAGGAAACAAAGGGCTCAACAATGATGTATTTGATAAATTTATTTAGATTATACATAAGGACAACTTAACCTCTCAGTATGCTTCTACATAGGTACATCTTTGACTGGTGTAATTTGCAATAGCCAATAAGCAGATGTGCGTCTATTTTATTTTTTTCAGAACTAGAATAGAATAAAGAATGACATAGTTAGTCTATATCCTGTATCGATCATAGGATCACTCTATGAATAGGGCAACTCTCTGTTACCTCCCACCGTTCACGTCATACATCTTTTAAATCAAATATCCTAGCACAAGCATTGTCAATTACCTCCAAATAAAACTAATTTTGCAGGAAACATTATGAGAGGGGATAATCAATCTTCTGTCTGAAACGGCAGTTCAAACAACATAGCCCAACAAGCCATAACTGGCAGATCATACTAGTTTGCTTTGTAGTCCTAAGTACTTGTGATTTATGCTAGTAAAGACTATAAATAAGAACATTTATGCCTTTATCCTAAAGCATCAGATTCTGTTAAACGTTTACCAAATGATATCTCAGATTTCACGCAAAAAGACACAATGCAAGAAGATCCCATAAATAACAAATCAGAGAAATAAAAAGTGTTTCATAAGGCAGAACATCACATCCCAATTCCGAAAGAGCCTTTTTCATCCAGAGGAAATGAAAATAAGGGCAATCAGTGTACGAAGTAATTATCCTCGCCATGTTTAATAGAATTGGAAGTACAAAACTGGTCTCAAAAAGAAACTAAAACCCTACAAGAAGCAAGAAGAACATGAGAGCATCCACAAAAAGAATTTTTATAATTCAACAACAAATAGTACTATGGTTTGTACTCTTTTGCCATTAAATCAATCCTTAGAAGCGAATAGTACTATGTTTTCTGAACTTAAAAGATGTACAGGTCCTGTTTGGATCACCCAAAGAGGAGAAAAGCTAAAATAAGAGAGCAGCAAGAGGCCAAAAATAAGCAGCTACTATTAGCCTTCATATTTTTTTTGTCAAATATATAAGCTAAAATATATAGAATACAGCCAGCAAACAATCAAATAAAAAAATATCATCACCTTATCACAACTTAAAACAATTGAAATAGAGATTAGATGTAAATTAGCCACCTTTGGCTGACATAAATCAAGAGTTCAAATCAAAGTGCTAAGAAGATACCCAAATTGGAAACAAATACAACAATCACGAAAATCAAAATTATAGACAAAGATAATCATTCTATCGACTAACACTACAGACAAATAGAGGACACTGAATTGAGCAAATGATTTGGAAGAATATCCAACTTTTACACTTTGAAATAGCCTAGGCAAAACAAAAAAAATAATAAACAAAGAGCACAAGATCGAGATCTGAGAGTAAGACACTAAATTTAACTGAAATGCTAGCTGAATATAGAAACTACAGTGATAGGAATAACTGAGAAGCAGATCGAAGAGAAGAGATACTCACCGATCAGATGAAGCACAGTAAGCTGGTGAGGAGGACGCAACGACAAATAGAACTGATCTCAAATGAATCCAGGAGGATGATGACGCCGCCGTCGCCGTCGCCGTCGCCGTCGACGACGATGGTGAATTTGAAGAAGGTGAAGGTGAATTTGAAGACGATGGAGTCTGACTTCGTTTGAGAGCTTTCATTTACAAACAAATCACTATACTCTTCAACAAATTTCTAGGGTTTTCAATGAGTGAGATTGACGTTAAAAAACTGTGATAACGTAATTTCCTTTTCGCTTTGAAAAACTCAGCCGGTTATTTTTTGAATTTTTTTTTAACTTAGATAACGGCGGCGGGTAATGCGAGTCCGGCCAAGGCCGTTAAAGCAAGAAGTACTACTCCGGCATTAGAAAGGTGGTGGTTCAGCGAGAAACCACCGGTGTTGCTGCTGTCGCCGATGAAAACTGCAGGGTGCTGATTGAATCAACAACATAAAGAGAAAAAAAAGGCAGGTAAGAGAGATAAAGGATTAATAAGGAATGTCGATTATGCCCTTTTCCACCATAACTCACAACAAAAACTGAACGTTTTGTCTTTGTTTAACTGTTTTTTCTTTTAGATTTAGCTTTTCTCATTTAAGATTTGTGTTTGTTTTGTCTCTTGTTGAAGATTTAGATGAGTGAGGGGACCTATAAAGGAGTCTCCTAAGAGGGGGCTTAAGGTGGATTGTCTATTTTCATTTTGTACTGTATCTACCACTGCCTAGAGAGAAAGGGGGAACGAGAGAGTGCATCATACGAGAGTTATAATAGAGTACTCTCTTCGTTTCACAAAGAATGGTTTAGTTTGATTTGATACGGAATTTAAGAAAATAAAGAAGACTTCTGAATCTTGTGGTTCTAAATTAAAGTTATGTCAAATGTATAAAATTATCCTTTAATCTTGTGGCCTTAAACATGTCACGTGAAAAACTGAAATTAAAATGTTATCAAAAAAGAAAGAGGTCGTTCGTTTTGAAACAGACTAAAAAGGAAAAGAGGTCATTATTTTTTAAACGGAGGGAGTAATAAGTATTTTTTTTAATTTTAAATCAAAGATTTCAAATTTAAAGTCTCTAGATATAGAACTATCTTTGTTAGAAAACATTTTACTTTTCAATATGAATTTTTTGTACTGTATCTACCACTGCCTAAGAGAGAAAGGGGGAAAGAGAGAGAGAGAGTGCAACAAACGAGAGTGATAAACTGATAATGGCATGATAAGTATTCTTTCATTTTTAATTAGAAATTTTAAATTTAAACACTTTGAATACGAAATCGTCTTTATTCTACTCTTTAATATAATTTGTTTTTGATATAAATTCAGATTTAATCAGCTTCACTATCAGTATAGATATTGAAAAACTAAAATAATAATGGCAGGGAGAGAGCGCACTCTGGGTCTGAGTAAAGTTAGTTCCGTGGGGTAGTGTTATGCCTAAGCGAGCACTCTTTTGGCACGGATGTGACGTTCGAACAAGGCCAATCTCATGGTACTCTTCCGTCCATGTTATATTATTTTTCTAACTTATAGACGGTTTGACATTGGTTTTGAGAGACTAGAAACACTTATTTATTTTAAGAAAAAAAATATTTTTATTAAAAAATTAAGTGTTTGGCAAATAGCAAAAAGTGTTTTTAGATGGAAGTAAAATCAGGTTTTCTAATGTCCAGAAGAAGTTAGAAGTTTTTTTTTATTTTTTATCTGAAGCAAAAACAAAAAATATCATTTTCATATATACATATCTACCAATATACTTCTTATTATTATCATATTTCATAAGTTTTCTTAAATTTCATTTTTTATTTTTATATAATAAATTTTATAATTTATTTTACATTAAAAAGTATTATTTTATATATTATATATTATTTTACGTACTATTTTGCAGAATTAGAAAAAAGGTAACAACAATATTTTTACAAAATTAGAAAAAAAAATTAAAGATTTCGGCATCCCAAAAAAATATGTAATATTAATTGAAAATTTAAACATGTACATTTTAATTTAATAAAGATTTCATTAATTTTTTTATGAGAGATATTTAAAATAGCTTCTCTGTATAAAATAATTTTAATATTAGAAGTACATTAATAGTTGTCCTTTTTTGTAATTTGACAGTCAAAAACACTTTTTGAAAAAGATAGACAAACGTAATTTACTTATGAAAAACACTTTTTAAATGAATTAGTCGAACACAAATTATTATTTTTTCAAAAGTACTTTTCTAAAAAGCTATTTTAAAAAAATGCTTCTAAAAATAAGTTGTTTTAGCAGCAATGTCAAACATGCTCTCAATCAGTAACATGTGATTTCATCTCATAATTTTATATCATGAGATGAAATCTCAAATTCTCTAAAAAGTATGATTTGAGAATATTAAATCATGATTTGGATTTTTCAAATACAAAAATTAACCGATAAGTTTATATTTTGTAAAATAAAACTCATATTTATATCTACTAACCATCTATTTTATATGTAAATATCATTACTTTTTAAAGTGTTTATATCTCATATAACCATCATTCTCACAAACATATAAAATTTATTGTTACTTCAAATCAATTTCTACTTTATCATTTATAATTTTATATTCACCAAATTCATTATTTTTTATCAATTTATTTACCAATTAAATTGAAATAAAATTGACCAACAAATGGCTCAAAATAACAATGTTGGTTCGTCTTCTTGATCATATGATCAAGAAATGCAAGTTCAATGTGAGTGATTGTCCGTACTATGTGAGAGAATTATAATAAAGACTGGTACATTAATATAAGTTATGTTCAATTTTAATTTTTTATTGAATTAAATTAGTTTAATAAATGTTGTATTTTTAAAGAATAACTGATAGTGTATTATGCGATTTTATAAAATTTGGCATATTTGGCAAGATTGTATAAAGAATTGAGATAATTTTAATTGTTTTACAACTTAGGAAGTTTTTATTTTTATGAGAAAACATATAACATAAAAAGTCCAAAATTATATACCCAAACAAAACTTGAGCTTCATCTCATAATTTTATATCGCATGACCAAAGGGGCGTTTGTTTGGAGGTTAACAACACTTATTTTGAGAATGAATAATTTTTTTTAGAAAATCAAGTGTTTGATTGATTAAAATTTAAAAATATTACTTTCCCGGTGAGGTTGTCTGATAGTTCCATAAAAAATTGCTCAATAAGATATACCTAGTCTCTTTTGTTTACTATTTCATAAATTACTATTCTGGTTAATTATTTTGATTTTTCTTATTAACAATTTATTAAGCATCAAAGAGTTGATATTTAGTCTGTATAATTTGGATGCTCTTGAACTTAGAAATTCATTTGTTATTTTAAATTACGAACTTATTAGGAGTAAGCATTTTGACGCTTACCGTGGGAACAAAGGAAATTTTAGTATTGTTTACACCTATTTTTAGTCATTTGCTAAATTGTTTGATTTTGTTTCGTAAGAAAATTATCATGTTTGAAGTTTCATAAAACAATCAATTTATTGAAAATCAAAGAGTGATATATACGCAGGGCCGTCTTAACCTTTAGGCCACTAAAACAATCGTTTGGGACGCCATATTTTTGGGGCCCCCCATTTTAAATAAAAAAATTACTTATGAATGTTTTTTTTTTTAAAAAAAAATTATATGTACTATAACTGCTATGATTTGTACTAAGGCATAAGGAAATTGCATATGAAATGAATGTAGAACCTGAATTTCGTAAGAAACAATTTGATAAAAATATTGATAACGAAATCATAAAGTCCCTTGAAACTATATATATATAGAGATCGATAGATAGATAGATAGATAGATAGATAGATAGAGAGAGAGTAGATTAAGTCTTATTTTTTCACTTCAAAATAGATTTGAACCAATTGAAGCATATGAAAATAGTTTTTTTCTTATTTAGTGGTAAATTGAGATCACTAGATGATGAGAACTTAAAAATCATTGTCTTAAATTTGATCTTTAACACATAATAGTTATTCTGTTATTGATGGTTTAGATTTATTTTTTGAATTGAAAGTGTTGAGAGAAATAATACATGTAGAAGATAATTATCTAATGAAAATACGCAATCAAATAAAAGACTTGATTCTCTTTCAAATACACATATTGCTTATAGAATAATGTTAACAGTTTCTCGAACCGTTGCCTCAGCCGAAAGATGTTTTTCGAAACTAAATTTGATTAAATCTTATTAAAACAAATCAATTATAAAACAGTAACTAATGATTTCGTATCTAAAAAAGCTAGAAAAGTAGATTTTAAATAAAAGTATATATGATGAAAAAATAAAATATTAGGGTCCCTTCCTTAAATTTTGCTTTAGGCCCCCAATCTTATTGAGTCGGGCCTGTATATACGGTGTCCATTATGATGGCTTGACCTTGGATAAGGACGATATAGAGGCACCACCAGGTTTTGAAGTAAACCCTCAACCTCATCATGTTTGAGGTTGAAGGTTTAAGTCACCAAGAGAGTGAAGCAGATGAGAGCTCCTAGAAGGGGATTAAAAAGACGTGATTTTCATCACAAGTACAACATTGTGCTCATAGTCGTAACATGCGTGAGCTCTAAGATTATTATTTTCTTGATGACGTTGCCTGACAACTCCGTTGAAATTTTTTCAATAAGATCTATACTCGTTTGTCCTGAGAATTTTTTCCTATTTTTCTCTCTTTTTTCACTTTATTGAAAAATTAGTGTTTGATCATAAAATTTTAAATACAACTCGAAGTTGTATTTGAAAAATACCCAAAATCCTATTTTCACTTTTAATTTTTTTTCCTTTTCAGATTTACACTAATTTTTTTAGTCTTATAAAATAATTTCATTTATATTATATTTCATGTTTTTTTTAAAAAAATTAATTCAAAATCTAATTTCTTGGCTAAATGCGCTCTTAATCTCTTTTGCTTACTATTTCATAATTTATTATTTCAATTATTCTTATTAGCAAGTCATTAAGCGTCAAGAAATTATTTAATATTTAGTCTAATATAATTTATGTGTATTTAAACTTCGAACCCAAACTCAATTGTTATGATAAATCACGAATTAAGAGAGAAACAAAAGTTATATAAAAGTATTCTAGCTCGCTCTCAAAATTTAAAAAATATAAATTAAATTTAAGCTGGTAAGGTGAATAAAATGATCTTGTATTAAACCACACCACTATACACTACTCTTTCCAATTTTCATTTTTCACTAGACTTTGATTTTACCCACTACCTAATTTTACACATAATTTGTTTCCTATTTTTAATTTTATTTTAAACAAAGTGATTATTCGTCATTAGCCTAGTCAACTTTTAGGGAGGAGTGGAGGACTGATGAAGAAGTCGTAATTGGTAAGTTACCATTTATTTTATTGTTTTCTTTTCGGTAGGTCAACCAAAAATAGTCAAATTAATTTTAAAAAATATTACTACATTATATTATTTCCTCAATTAGACCAATCCCAAACATAATAATGATTAATTTACCACCCACCACTCATGGTTAACGTGGATGGATAGTATTTACCAACACTTTTGAAAGTCTTAGCTTCTAGTCTTGTGATTGAAATAGAGCGAATCAAGATTAACCTAAAATAAAATTTATACATAAAACAAAGGGAAAAGGGTCAAAAATATCCCTCAACTTTGGTTTATTATTTAACTTTACCCTCGCCGTTAAAATGAAGTTAAAT